TTTTTAATAAGAAATACTAGCAAATAATGTTACTACTATTATTTATCAATAAATAAAAATTTACATATGGCAGAGTATAGAAATTAATATAAATTACCTTATTTAATCAAAATGTCAAAAGAAAGATCGATTAGGAGCTAAGTATTATGTATTTTGTAATTGTCCCATAGAGTGTCACTATTTACCCATAGGGTGGGGCAAATAGTGACAAATGTAAGTTTCAGTTTTTATGAAAATCTAGTCCGTACGCATGACTTATGGAAACTCTAATTAAGTTTTTAGTATTATTTGAAAGTGAAAAGTACTGTTTTAGTGAAAAATCATATCTTGTAAACTTGAAATTAGCTTGTAGGAGAGAGAGGAAAAAAATCCGTCACTATGCCCCCTTTCCTCCCCTCTCTTTTACGTATTATCGAGGGCACACATTACGTTGGCATATTCGCGTTTGTATTTGTGAATATCAGAAATGGCGTAGAATTAAATTTTTGACAGAAAATATATGTTCAAGATATTAAATTTTATGCGAGACGTAATATGAAAATTGCCACTTATGCCACCTTGTGTACACGAGTGGCATTGCACATATTGCACGTGTGCACGTCGGAATAGATTACACATATTACACATGTATCGAGGCGCATGTCATTCACATTAGACCTATGACAGAATCCATATCGCGTGCGCAAATGCTGATCTCTCATCTCGCGTCGGATAGAAAATGATTTCGCGAGGCCATAATATAGAGCGATGCAGGCGATCGAGAACCGCGGCGCGACTCGTAAACCCCCACGAGGCATTTTTCTCTCCCGGCCGGCCGGCCGCGGCCCGGCGCGGCTTCCACACATTATTGAATATCGTTTATTTGTCGAGCAACGTCTTCTCGCTCATTTCGCCACGCTTATCGCGTCACTGTTTCGCCTGACTTTCCCCGTTTCCACTCAGTCTCGGGCCTCCCTCGGCCGGGCCGGAGCCGGGCCGGGTCGGGGGCCGAGGCGCGCTTGCCAGAAATATCAATTTGCGCGGGAGTGGTAACAGTTTGCTTGATTTGGCACGGCGTAGCTTACGTCCGAAATAAATCTTCGCGAGTTGCAGTGTCGGTGCCCCGGCCCCGGAAACCGATTGTCTATGCGAGATTTGACATGAGTGGCGCACTCCCGTCCCCGTGGCATCGCGGCACGATATCTCATTCCCGCGAGCGTCTCGATTGGCATCTTATTTATCTCCAATCGATCGACATTTCGATAAAAAAAATCAGATAACGCGCCTTCCATATACGGCGTATGAAAAATTATCCTACTTAGGCCCATTTTCATAACATATGGTTAACGATAAAGTTAGGTTAACTAAAACTTGAAAATTAACTAAAACACACTTTCATATAAGCTTATAGTTAAATAAACTAAAGGTTACGTGTACACATTAGTTAAGTTGGTATCAAGTTAACTTGATGGTTAAATCTTAATCAAACGTCATTAAACAATAAACTTCTTGGTAATTTTTAACCTTTAGGTAACCATACATTGTGAAAATTGGCCTTATTGTTATCTGTATTTGACGATCGTTCTGCTTAAGCGGCGTCTACAATAAGACTTGAGATTTAAAAAAAATTGACCAATCATAAGCGATTATTCTTCTCACGTGAGATGAATAATCGACTATGGTCAATTTTCTTAAATCTTAAGTCTTGTTGTAGATACCGCTTTAAACTCACTAATGCCGTAGCGCGTGCGACTCGTTACACCACAGTATAACCAGTAGGTCCACTTCGTGTCGGCACCTTTGATCTCCTTTTCCGGATCACGTGAGCATCTACCATGTTAAATCCAGGACCGAATTGAGAAAAGTGCCTCACAAGTAATAAAACAGATAACTAATAATATGGATTCGATACAGTAAATCAATAAATTCAATCTGTGAATCGAATAAAACGTTTTATTAGTAACAATTATTCGTAGGAGTGATTATTAAAGAAAAATTACTGATGTAATTGCTTNTAAATTGTCTGTACATATGTATGTACGTTCCTATCGTCTTGCATTTCATTGGATCCAACCCAAAACAAAAGTTGCGCGGCGATACCTGCGCGAAGACTCAGTTTTTCGCTGAGTGGACCTACTGGTTATACTGTGGTTACACTAAGGCCGGCATTTGTTTCCCTCTCCTCCCCCCTCCCTCCGATGTAAAATTAAAAGGTGCCCATTGACAAGCGCGGCAGTAGAAGTGCGTAATAAATTAAAATGGCAAACAACAGTAATTGTTGGCTGCGACAATATGAGCGTGGAAGTAAACTTACTCAGAAAACAATTCACGTCGGAGTGTGTACGTATTGGTATTTTGGAATGTATAGCAATGTCACGTTGGATATTTTATTTCAGACAAATTTTTTATACTACTATATACTTTTCTAGATAATTTTCGTAACTGTGTACTTAACTTGATTATCAATTTTTCTAAAATTATTAAAATAAATTCATGTTTAATATACATACCTAATAAACATAGGTGCTATCGGTGGAGTATATACTTTTTGACAAAAAGAAGTTACGCACTATGTACGTAGGTATATAGTACGTTTTTTTATATAATACGTATATAATACGGTATATAATACGTATTTTTTTTTGCTAAAGAGATATTGGCGCAGTAATGCAAAAAAGAAAAGTAAATAATATATCCTGTACAAAATAATTACAAAATGATATATAATATTATCAAAAGTAACTAAATGTTCTAAATTATCTACTTTTGTCTTTTTTAAGGGAAGTGACGAAAAAGAGAGATTAAAAAAGATTAAGAGAAATTAATTATTTCACCATAAAAAAATATAAAACATGAATCGCTCACATTTCGATCTATATTTTCATTGCACTTTAGGAATGCAAATTACCTTGCGAAATAACATTATTGAATAAGATCAATAATAGGGCTGTAGAGCCAAGCTGGGTGTACGTGCTAATAATATGTGTTGACTGTGGTGGTAAACAATCTTTAATGTTATATAAATAACTAATATACAAATTATACCAAATGTTTCGACCCTTTTACATAACGGTCATCCTCAGTGGGAATATAACGAATTAAATACATAACTTCACCCAAAAAAAAATGTTCTACTTATAAGCGGGAAATTCTTTTAACCATTTCCTGTAAGAAAAAAGTTTTACATGAAGCATATTCCTCAGCTATAAAGCGTATTTATCTATAAAAAAATGGACCATGCGCTATAATCAAGAATAAATTCTTATAGTAATTCGACATTCTTCTATATTTTAAATATATATCTCATAGTAATTCGATATTCCTCTATATTTTAGAATATATACTCATAGTAATTCGATATTCCTCTACATTTTAGAATATCCTTTCGAGACGTTTATTTAATATTAAGAGGAAAATCTTTTATTATGAAGAGGGTACCACTAAAGGATAGAATATTTTTTTTTGGGTGTTACATTATATGTCAATGCATTTGCTCGCAAATTATATTTGTCTGATGTTTTAACAAAAATTATTGGCTTGTCGTCTAAATCTTTTGGAAAGCGTCATCCTTAGTCCATTTGTATTAGAAACCATGTAACTTTCAGATAGATACATGTTAAAATTTGAATATCCAGAAATCATGTAACTGTGAAGAATTAGCACGTACACCCAGCTTGGCTCTACAGTCTATTATTGATTTAATTTGAATATGAGTCTTTGATAATTTATTAAATTAAAAAAAAATTATTGAATAATTTTTTTATATGCGATATTAAAGGAATATCATTTTTTACGAATTATATTTATTATAATTGCAGGTCGTATTTTATATATAACAAATTTCTAAATTATATTATAAATTACACATAACACACAATTGGACTATATTGGATCGCTTCGTTGTTCATGAAGCCCGTATCAGACCCTACGTGAAATCAACCGATTAGAATGAAACAGATTCAAAACTGTCCGATTGGTCAAATCTCCAATTTCTAATCTGTAAATCGTAATCCTCAATCTCCAATGCATCTCCAATGAGGAACAACGGAGCAAATTCACACAATACCGCGCAGCCTCCTCCCCCGAAATCGCGGTCGTTACAAAAGCGACTGATGACGGCGGTTTTTCGCGTGTAAGAAAAGCCGACGAGAGACCAAGCCACACGCGGGAAAATAATAACAAGAGGAGTGCCCGCGGGGTTTGGGTGTAGGTGGACCAGGCGGGGAGACGCGAGGGAGATAGTGGTGGATGCATAATTGAATGAAAGCGTGGCGAACAGAGCCAAGGGGTAGTTCCTACGACTGGGAGGGGGTGGAAATGCTATAATTTCAAGCCAGACAGTCATGCGTTATTCAGCATTGAGGTACAAGTTCTCCTTCTCTCTTTCTCTTTCTCTCTCTCTCTTTCATCTTTGTTTTCCATGCGATTCTCTGGAAGGGAGAAAGTGTCGTCTCTTCATTCTCTTCCCTCCTTTTATCGCACTTCGATCTTTCTTCTTTACCTAATTCTTAATCGTTCGTTCATTATCTACGATCGCTCTCGATTCGCAACTTGTGAAATAAGATGATGCGATAATAATACAATGCAACGATGTTAAGATATGCACGTCGAGAACAACATTCACAAAATCCTCGCATCACGCAAGCTAATCCTTTCTCTATTTGTTATACACAGGATAGTGACAACCTCTGGTGGGAGGCCTTCGCGAACGAATTCTTCGAGGAAGACGCCACCCTCACCCTCCACGTCTGCTTGGAAGATGGACCGAAGAGATATTGTGAGTATCGACGATTATTTAATCGCATTTGCAATCGGCGGCGATGCGGATTTCGGAGGAAACGTTTAGAAATGTGTTATGAAATCAGATGGAACTTAACTATCACATTTTATTTTATTTTTGATCAATCATTGTGCGGAATTTGATTTCTAATTAATTAGAAAGAAATTAATCTCTCGGCTCGTAATCGTGTCCAATATATGAATCTAAGAATCTGTTATGCTATGAAGAATGCGGATAAACCCTTTGTAACATACATAATTAAGTAGTGCAGCGAAGAACCATTGTAACTATTGGAATTTCGTTAAAAATGTCGAAATATGATACATTATGATTTTTTAAAAATTAATAAATATAAGGAATTTTAAATTTCTTAAGATAGACGATCTTTGATCTTCTTACGTTCAACTGATTTGACTCATTTTGTCTCAGTATAAAGCTAAGATTCTTGTGTATCTATTGACAAAAACAAAGAGAAGAAAAATAAAGTTAAAAAAATGAAGCCATTTTTGAAAGATTTTGCAGACATATAATTGAACGGACGGACGAATAATCAGACGGACGCACAAACGAATGATCGGATCGACACTGTGAAATTATAAAGTAGTTTGCTACACTGCACTACTTATTAATAATAACAATAGACGAGTGAGATATCTTTATTTTCATGGTAAAAAAGGAAAATTCAAAAAGAAAAGGTTAAATTGCAAAGCAAAATTTCTTTTTGAGAGCAAGGTGATAAAACTTTCGAATGAAGTTTCTTTGACACTTACACATCGTTATCTGCGTTAATACGATCGATTTCTTTCAGCGCGAGATAATTTCTTACATCTTTGCGATATCACGGTTCACACATTGTCACCGATACTTAATCGCCGTGCAAGCTCGTGCGGGTACCGCCTCTGTTCTAAATAATGACGTGCCACCGCGCGGCAATCTTGCAGTCGGTGGATTTTAATGTCTGTTCTGCACACCGTCTCGAAAATATACGACGACAACGTGATTACATGTCGTGCGGATGCGTGTCGTCGTCATCCGGGTATAAACGACGGGGCATCCGCGCAGTATATGACGCGCCCGAAATGAGTCCCCTGATGCGAAATGCGTAATTTGTAATTAACGAGAAAAAGAAAGACACTTCTCACTCGTGTCTGTTTGGCGTTTGTCGTTAGATTTCGATTTATACTTTTACGTCGTAATTCTCGATAAAATTTTATTCATTCCTCGCGACAGGAGTTTCTTGCAGAATCAAAACATTGAAAGTAAAGCGCGACAATTTATTATAGAATTAGGTGAACATCGAAAATTAAACGCGACAATTTGTTTTATTTAGTCTCAGCTATTCGTGTACATTCCAATTTTGCAGAGGTGCACGCGTTTATATGTATATCACGCCCGAATAGATATATATAAGAGTCGATATCGACCGACTTAAAGATAGAGCTGTCGATCTTAATCGTCGCCTTGCTTTTCCCGCGACGTTACTCGTTGTATTTATTTCTAATCGTTTCGCCATCTTTACCCTTTCAGCGATAGGAAGGACGTTAATACCCAGGTACTTCCGTTCAATATTCGATGGCGGAGTGACGGAACTTTACTACACTTTGAGAAATCAGAAGGAGTCGTTTCACAACACTACCATAACGCTGGACTGTGATCAGTGCACGATGGTCACGCAGTACGGGAAGCCGATGTACACTAAGGTACGATTCGACACATTCGGTATATTTATTGCACTTGCAGTAAAAAAAAAACTACACTTCAGATTGCCAATATTTACGTACTTGATCGTTGAATTAAACGAAAATAACACGAATGATTAAAAACAAATTGAAAAACATAATCGTGATTTAAATAGAAATGACCAGAAAAATTTATATAAAAACTACTGCGTGCACGTGCCGTATCCCTGAGTTGACACAATTGGAAAAGTCGATTACTCTTTTCTTAATAAAAAAAAAGAGAGATGTCATAAAGACAGGAAGGATTAAAGTTTAATTGGATCTCTGTAATTTCTGTAAAACTGCTTCCTAGCGGGAAGCCTAAGTTCTCTCTCTCTGTAAAACTCTTCGCGGCGCGCGCGAAATCAAGCGCACCTCGAAATAGCCGAGGCGGATATTGTCATCCGAAACTTATTTTATAGGTGTTAACGGAGGGTAGGTTAATATTGGAGTTCACCTTCGACGACCTCATGAGGATAAAGTCGTGGCATATGTCAGTGAGGACGCATCGGGAGCTGGTGCCGAGGAGCGTCGTCAGTATGCAGCAGGACCCGACGATGCTCGAGCAGATTAGCAAAAACATCACCAGGCAGGGCATGTCCAACTTCACTCTCAACTACCTTAGAGTACGTATTCTACGCGCACTGCGCTGTCTTATAATTCTACGTCGATGCGTCAGATTGACCGCGTCCAAATTGAATTGAACTCATGCGAACAATCACATGTCAGTTTTAATTTCGAAGTTTTTTAAAAATGTACATGGTTTAACGTCAGTTTTAGTGGTATACAATGTATCAATCTTAAGCCCGGTCTACAATTGCGTAAGCATAGTTGCAAATAGTTGTAGTTATAAGAATATACCAATCACAATCGAATATAAGAAGAATATTCGACTGTAATTGGTCAATTTTTACAACTACAATTATTTACAATTATACGCTTACGTAATTGTAGACCAGGCTTTAAAGACGACTGAGGAGGACCAAGTTAGGTCGAAACGTCTCGCTATTGAATTATTGTATATGTGAAAATATAGGAGTTTATAGCAACATCTAAAACCTTTGCTCGTTTATTGGCCATAAATCAATTTACTAGCTCTTGATAAATACGAGCGCTACTTTTATTAATTTTGCATTAAAATTTTTTCGTTCGTATTAAACTATCTTAGAAGATGAAAAATTGTTAGCGAAACAGACGAGTCTTCGGAAGACTCGCAGACGAAAGAATAGATCAATCAAGCTTGCTTTTTTGATTATTTTGACATATGTAGATGAACGCAAAGACCTCCAGAATGTTTACACTGCAAGAATTTGAAAGAAAAGAACGATTACACGCACGATTAGCGGCGAACACGTGCGTATCATCGTGCGTGTCGAAACACGAGGGACGAGACTTTGATTGAGTATTGATTTTATAAACGGAAAAAAAATCGATCGCGAACGTGATTGTTAGAAAATTGTTGCGGCAAGATATAGGTGCGTCGATGCGGGGCTAGTTCGGAACACACACGTCGTGCGCGCCTGCCTTCTCGAAAGTATCTCCGGCTATCCGGGTTACGAGCTACCTTCTTTCCGCGCTCGGAAGCGCTTTCACCAGGGAGGGGCGGGAAGGGGACGGTCGCGCATTCCGCGTGTATCGTCTCGAGCCAGTTGAAAAGCCCCGTCGATTGTTACGTTCGCGGGAAAGTCCTCGCGCCATTGTTGAACCGGTACACGATGTTCGCGGAAACGCGTAAGGAACGGCCGCGTCTTCGAATATAATTTCTCCACAGGGGCCGAGAAGAGCCGTCGCCGACGACGAAAACGGGGGGCCTTCGGTTGATTTACGGACGAATGTGTCGTCACATCGCGCGAAACTCCAGTCAGTTTTCTCAAGTGGTAGTTACGTTATTCAGCTTTTACGCTCGCCGCGTAACGTGATGTAACGCGATTATTACTCACATGAAAATGCGTGTACACGCAAGTACAGTTCTCGGATTGAAACTGTATTCAAAACGAATCGACAGAAGTAGAAAACTTATATGTTTTTCTCATATGAGTTTTTATAAAGAGTTTAATCTTTAGACATATTTAAATATTTATTTATTTCTTGTTTTTGACTTCGTGGTTTTATGTATTCATTTGTTTATTTATTATATTTTATTTCGCGTTTTTTGAACTCTACTTGCCGAAGATGACTCTGTGTAGTCCGAAACGTTCCAGGTTTTTTTTAATATAATGACATTATTAAAGTTTTAATTTTTGACATCCAGTTTATCGTGTGCTTGTTTCTTGACCTCTTTATTCATATATTTTATTACGTTGCATATACGGTTTTTGAACTTAATTTTTAAAGAGTTGTTTAATTTGCATTACATATATTAGAGTGAGATGTATATTAAACATATATTAAACATTAGAATTTTAGTTATAGAAATGTTTAGAACGTGTTTCATCTAATTTTTCGTACATTTAGGCTGAAAAGAGACTGCAAGCTTAAGCTTCGAGCTATAAATATCGAATTATTGAGCTTGTAACTTGGCTTTTCATCAGGGATTGAACTGACTGATTCTTTTACAGTTATGCGTGATTCTGGAGCCGATGCAAGAACTGATGTCGAGGCACAAGGCGTATGCGTTATCACCCCGTGATTGTCTGAAGACAACCTTGTTCCAGAAATGGCAGAGGATAGTTGCCCCGCCGGGTAAGAGAGGTAGACGAACAGTTGCTTTACATGAGAAGCACCAGCCAGTGAAGCCGAAAAACGGCCGTCGATAGACAACGTGAAAATCGGCTCTTATTTTTGCTACCCGCGGAACGACGCCACTGTCCGTTTGTCGTCGATTTTCTTTGACCGCTTTGCCGCGAGTCTTGGTTCCACCGGTTTTTCCTCGTCGAGCGTGAGACTTGACGATTTTGTACCGAATCTTCCAGCAATTAGATGCACTTTTCTATCGAACACCGTCTTGCACCGCTTGTTTCATCGATCGAATTTAAGTCAAACCTTCGAGTCATTTTACGAAGTATTTATACTTATAGTATATAAGCATTACTATGTGACTTCAATTTGCTTTTAGTTTCATACATTACATGATATTTGATATCAATGACACGGTTATTTTTCGATTGTTTTGACGTTGCGTCACACTGCTTTTAGCGTCTGCTTATCGCTCATTTTTTATCGTGCTTGTGCGTTTCCCATTTCACTTGCGATTTTGTACATACATATAGCTCGGATACGTTCACCCGATACTCGTTTAAATCCGATAAACCCGTGGAACCAAGCGCGTACAACATCAAATAATATGATGCCAAACGTGTTTCTCTGTAAACGTCGCTTGAGAGTGCAAAGTAGTTCGTGGGAGGAAGAGTTAGAAATAAACTTGACACATGTCTCTATGTGTTTGTTTGTCTATCATGTCAATGCATGCTTGTGCTTGTGCGTGTCAGAGACCTTTGATAATGAGAAAGGTCCACAGCTGGGTAGTGCTCTTAAGTTTATCAGTGTGTAGCCACACACGTGGCCGAACGCGGCCGACGAATGTGCGCGGCGTGTTGTGTTCACGACGACTTTCCTTCGTTTCCAGAGTCTCAGCGGCCGGCTAGCAAAAGAAGAAAGCGGAAGGGCAGCACGTCCGGACCGGGCAACAATGCTCCACCCGCGCCTAGCAAAAAGCGTTCACCTGGGCCAAATTTTTCTCTAGCATCGCAGGTAAATCTTTCGATTTATTTTTCTCATTGAAGCAACATACATCGCGGTGTCGTCTGTAGGCTAATTAAATTTTTTTTGTTTTTACTTCTATCTAGCAATTTAGATAATTTAAACAATTTAGAATTTACTTCTATCTAGGATGTGATGGTTGTGGGTGAGCCTTCTTTAATGGGCGGTGAATTCGGGGATGAGGATGAGCGGTTAATCACGAGGTTGGAAAATACGCAATACGATGCCGCAAATAATCTGGATCCTCATAGTCATGATGCATCCGGCGGACCACCGCCGCATCCTCATCAGTTCCACTCGGAGCCGACACCGGGTAATTCCTGGCCGCCAGATCGCGGTCCTGGTCCACCACAGGGAGGTCCTGGCAGTCAGGTAATCAGTTCTTCCACGCCAAATTTCAACCCCGGAATTGAAGAATGCGTCTGCACACGCATCTAATTTATCTGAATAAAATACAAGTATTCAACAAGTACTCAACAAGTTTCAAATTTTGCTGAATCGATTGAACTAATTCATTAAAATAACTGATATCAGATATTGAAACTATTACTTGAATGACTTCTGAATTCGGAGATCGGTGTCGTTATTCGGTTGATCGGTATATCGGAAAAAACCAATAACTAAAGATGACTCTCAACGGAAGATTAAAGAAAGGAAAAATAAAGTTTAAAAGGAAAAGGTACTGACTCCACCTCAAAAAATGCTATTCAGAAACGTGCGATAATAATTGCGTGGTTTCTAATATCGCGTCACGCATGTGCGTGTGTGTGCGCTGCTTCAGGGAGTCCAGGGTGGTCAAGGGGGCGCGGCCGCAGGTGTACAGGGAACGCAGGACGCCAGTCAACAGCAGCAAGACAAGAAGAGCCCCGCGGTGAGCCAGTGAGGCCAGGAGTCCCCGCGCCCCCCCACCAGGGGGCGACGGGGGCGCAGGCCCAAGAACGTGGCTCCCTAGCGGGGCGAGAATCCTAGCCTCCCCACTGCCGCCGCCTATCTGGCCTCCGCGGCCGGCTCCATGACTGGCAGGTTGTCGTCACACGTCGGAATGCTTCCGCCGCTGGCCTGTCAGCCCGGCCTGCCAGCAGCAGCACCACCGGGCCACCATCATCCGGAGCAGCATCCGCAGTTGGGTCACGTGGCCGCCGCCGCCGCCGCCGCCGCCGCTGCCGCCGCCTCGATGGGCATGGAGTCCTCGGAACTGATGGCGGTGGCCCATTACCAGGCGCAGCAGCTGCAACGGCAGTTGTTGGCCGAGCAGCAGTCGGGTCCGGGCACCACGATGCTGCCGCCTACGTCTGCTCAGCCTACTGGTGGAGGCTTGATGCAGCCGCAGGGGCTCCAAGGGCAGCAGCAGGGCCAACTCCAGCCGGGCCAGGACCCGCTACAGAGCTTGGTGCAGCAACTGCTCTGTCTACAGCAGATAGAGTATTTTCTCGCGCAGCGCGGTCATAAATGATTTCACTTTAGCGGAACGTAAATATCGGTCATTTCGCGCGGGAAAATTGGACCAGATGACAGTGACGTTTTGGAACTCGATATGAGCGGAAAACGTGTTTGTGTCGGTGTAAAGGTGATTCGCCGACGAGGCAAATTTCGCGCCAAATCGTTGTATGACCCGCTGACGCGCTGCCGTTGATGCTGCGACGCTGTCGAGAATGAAGACGAAGACGGACAAAATATACGCGGCGGCATCTGCTCGAGTTTGTATGGTTTTTTGTATAATTCTCGAACGGAGGGGAGGTAGTGCGGTGTCTCCGAATCCACACCACGACAATACACGGGGAAGATTGCGGAGAAGCTGAACGACCCGAAGCGGCAGATAGGAAAAGAAGGAGAGCGGCAGTTGCACCCGTTTATTCGTGGATCGCTCTATCGCTTCGGACGACACCGTGCGGACGGACGACAATCTCCAGGATAGAGGAGATCAAGTGTTTTAGCGTGTGATAAAAAAAAAACTTTTATGTCAAAAATTATGTTAAATATGAAAGGTGGAACGATGTGTGACACTGAGGGGGGAATGAAGAAGACGAGGAAGCGAGAAAAGGGAATGTGTTAACGCCACGCGCGTCAGAGACGATTGTCCGCTCTGGTGCGGGAATTTGTGAATGAATCTCTATCCGTCAACAGTATTGATATAATTAATAGAGTAAATGAATATATATAAAAAAATATTGTAAGAACTATATCGTAAGTACGTATTTGTGCAAACGTCAGTGTGCAAGTTAAGCAGAATGCGTGCGTATGACAGTAGTCTGGGGGTATATGGGAGAGAGCGAGAGAGAGAGAAAGAGAAAATGAATGCGAGAGGGTGAGAGTGAGTGAGGTAAAATCGGAGATGGAGAGAAGGGTGAGGTAAGAGAAGGAGCGATGAGAGAGTCACTTCGGCTCTTGACGATTTTTAAGCGCGGGGACCGACCGAACGCCAATGCATAGCCTCGTTGATCGTCCCGAGGACTCGTAGAATTTTATCCTTTATTACTACTATATAATAATAATAATTATTTGAACGAACCACGGAAAGCGTAAGAATATTTTGCACACTAAATAATGTAAGGAAGACTCTTTGTTCCAAAGGTTCAACACGGTTGGTAATATATAACGTAAGTGTAAAGCTTTCTCAAAACCGAGACGAGACACGGAATCCAATCTCCACGGTGCAGGAAAAGAAAAGAGAATTGTTAAAAAAAAAGAGCATTTTTTAACATTCGTGTAAACAAGCTTCGTGTTTTACGTTTTAGAAATACATATTGCGGTACGACACGTAGCACAGCACGTACCCACGTCTTTACGGATTATTTGTGAATTTTAACTTTTGTGTACCCAAGTGAATACTTTTACGTTCACTTGATTCGATTGTGTTTTGATCATTCTGACGAGATTCTTTTTAACGCGGCAACATTATAGGACCTTGTCATTTTTATTCGATACACAAATAATGGCGCGTGGTGATTCGAATATTTCAATATACGGTCAGATAAAGGCACATGAATGCACACACGAACACGTACAATTATATACACGCGTAAATCTGAACCCGAAGTTCCTTGCGTGTTACGTTTAAACATCATGTATATGTTCCTCATTTTGTTTATATACGTCGCATATGTTCCTATTTTTATATTGCTCCTTGTGATTCGTTATGTTCCCTTCTTTTAACATTCAGATGATTTTTATAAGATACTTTAAACGCAAACTTTTTATTTAAATCATCGATATAGGTATCTTTTGACGATCAGTGTGTGCCCTTTCGAATCATTTGTTTTTATGCGGTGATGACTCGTCATTGCGGATGATTCGTTCCAAATATGTATACTTTGAATTAGAGAGAAGAAAGAGAAAAATTAGTCTTGATATGCAATTCGTGTATATACAGATTTTGGTATTCTGATACATTATGTATTTCCGATACATAATATATCGTATTCCGAGGGAAGAGTATTTGCTTTGACGAGATTCGAAGTTACACATGCGTCGAAATGTAAGAAAGGGGAACATCGTTTTTAGTTGTAATTTACTGTACATCACACTGTGAACTGCGATTTGTCAGATGTTTTCCCGCGTGACTATATAGCGTCATCGCTTGAGCACGACGTAGGTACGAGCTCTGCTTCGATTTTGGAAATAGCAACAGGCTCTTCGCACATAACGTAATACATACACACATTACACAAAAATACATTAGACGCGCACATGGGCGTCCGCAGGGAGGGGGCAAGGAGGGGAATTTGCCGTTCCCCCCCTGAAATCAAACGAGTATAATAAAATTCAAAATTTGCTCTCTTATTTTTACAAATAATAAATATGTTTGTCAAATGTGAGAGAGCTAAAATACAACACAGGTGCACAACGTTTGAACATTTGCTCCTCGCGGTTCGTATTAAAAATTTGGATCATGCCTCCCTCCTCCCCCTTCTACAAAAATTCTGTGGACGCTCTTGGACGCGCACGCGGCGAAAATAATTCGCGTGTTAAGTAAATCGCCCCGCTCTCGCAAATAGTCCGCGTTGATGATAAATCCGCGCGCACGCGCGCGTGCCGTTTTCACATCATTGTCATTTAACCGATTTAACTGGGGGTTGGCCGTCGCGGCCAGACCGAGGAAGTTTCTAGCTCTCAGTTCCCTCTGTTCCAACCGAGGCTTAAGCCCGAATTACGTTTTGCCCCGTTTACCATTTGTTTGATCGTGGTCCGAAGAACAAGGGGGAAAACGAGCGGCGTTTTGCGGCTGCGGGAGATCTTTGAATCGAACTATTCTCGGGAATCTATGAGCGACCGGATTAAAGTTCGTGGCGACGTGTTTCCGTCGGATTTTATCGAAGGAGGGGGAGAAGGGCGACCACGCGGCGGCACAGGTACAAAACGCCGGCGTATCGTCCGTGAACTCCGCGTCTTCCCAAGGCGGGAGAGCATCTTCCGCATCTTCGTCATGTGTCGATACCGCGCGCGGGAATACATTTTGAAATATGTACAAAGATCATTGTCTCATACAGCACACGCTCGTGTAAACGCATACAAAAAAAAACGAACACACGTACACGCGGACACAAGAGTATCATTGGTGTAATCTTTCTCTCTCTTCCTCTTTCCGAGAGGGAAAAACGCTATTTGCTTTCTCGTTACTTTACCTCGGTTTCCGACGCAAAGATATTTTTGCTGCACATTGATTTTGCATCTTCTCCCTTTTTTTTTATCTTGTTGCAACAAAGGTAGGCTATACACGCATACGTACAGCTTACATGTAGAATGTACCGAGAAGAACGGAGAGACGAGTCGCTCTTGTAATTGTAAATCTCGAGAAAGAAAAAGAGGGGGACGCGCGCGCGCGCGCGCACCGATGTGCGCGCATTTAACATACGTGCATTTACACATTTCACATACACGTATACCCCGAAATCACACTTAAATCATGAATTAGTTAGATAAGCCACGCGTGAAGCCAGTACAGTCCCACGGCGTGAGAGTGTGCGAAAGTAGGAGGAAGGTGTACTTCGTGAAATACACTTGAGTGTGTAGAGAGAGAGAGAGAGAGAGAGAGAGAGAGAGAGAGAGAGTGTGTGTGTGTGTGTGAGAGAGAGGGAGAGAGAGAGTATTTGTGTAAGAGAGAGAGAGAGAGAGAGAAAGAGTGTATGTATGTTAAAAAGAGCGCATGTGTATGTATGCAGTGCATGCACGTACATACACACATATATGTATATATATATATATATATATATATATATATATATATATATATGAGTGCATGTGCGGGGAGAGTAAATAAGAGAGAATGCGAGTGATTTCGACACGAGCATGCTAGTGGGTTTTAGCATAAATGATCTATTGACAAATGTTGTATATTATTACGAATTATAATGACACTATTATAATTAATTAATTAATTAATTAATTAATTATTATACCCTAATAATGTGAATTGAATTTAAACGACAAAAAAATACACGAAATGATAAGTAATAGGCGAACAAATTTTTAATTGTTAGCGAAGCACACACGAAGCCGGAATTATAACGCCCCATCAGTTTCTCGGGTCCTTTGAGAGCCCCGAAAAAACCCTCGAAAGTAGCGGGCCGATCCGCCGCGCGACGGAGTCGAAAGTAACCGAGCGTATAAAAGCGCAAAGCTGAGAGCAAACGTTCGCGGCGGCGGCGAAGTCGCGGCGGAGAGGCGACGAACGTTATGGAACCTTAAAATCCTTGCCGGGAGAAAGTGCATCGCCCAGCAGCCTCGAGCGGCACTCGACTCGCCCTCCATATAAGGAAAGGACATATTCCCTCGACCGATCCTCCGATCCGATCTGTAACGCGTCCGCGAGGCCGCGGGGTCAAACGGCGTCCCGTCCGCGAAAAAGCGCAATCTATCAACATTCCGCAACAGTGTCGAAACTAGTCACATTCACACAGGGAAGCAACAGCAGATCGTGTAAGGCGTTGAAACCGATGAACATTCACGGCCGGTTTTACCGACGACGATTTAACTCTAATATCACGATATCGCTTCCTATCGGTTCTTCGCTTCTCTCCGCAGCTTTCCGGCCGCGGAAAGAGGCAAAGAATCGCTTGAGGCAAATTAGCCATCGAGCTGAGATTGGTCCTCGGAACAAACCTTTGGAACAAACTGATGAAGGTTTGGTGGATATTAGATGTGTTTTCGTTTCTCCGTTAAGTATTCCTTTTTTCCAAAAAAAAAAAAAAAAATCATTCCCACCCGCGCGTAGATCATCTCTCTTCGGAGCTATATGCATTTCGGTTGTTATAACGACAAATCTCAATTGCTCCGTTCGAATAGTCCGGCGATGCACTTCGGGACAGCGTTCAGAATAGCCGCGCGATGCGAGGCGAGGTATAATCACGCGTGCAAACCCGCGCGGCCGCATCTTCACCGAAAGCTATTTTGGCTTCAGAAAGAAGTCCTCTAGAGAGAGTCGTCGCGCCACGGGAAGCATCTCGGAGTGCGAGA